ACTAAATTGTTATGAACAACATTTTTATACTTGATTCAGTTTTATGTTAAAATCTTATATTGTCCTTAAAAATGCGCACTGTTGTAAGTCCTATACGCATTATCCCACGTAAATAACTGACTGAAATTGAGACAAACCAGAGACAAAATTCTTCTAAATTTAAGACACTAATTGGACGTCTTTCTTAAAAAATTAATTGTTGTGTTACAGAATAAAAACAATCTTTTAAAACGTTTTGTCATTACTTTTATATGTTTAATTTAAGTTTATCACAGGGACATTTATGAATAAGATACTAAAATATATATATATATATACGATGAAAATGTAATTTCCTTAGTGCAAATACATAACTCGATACATAGCAGACGTTACCCTTTGCCGTTGTCGACAGATCATTGATACGGCTGCGCAACTGACCTCGATGTGGGGGTGACCGGGGAAGGGTGAATACTGGGGGGGCAGCAGCTGGCGTCCAAGTAGGTTAGGCAAAGTCTATCCACAATTAGATTGCCAAGTCTATTTCCTAGAGGCTAATAAAGCTATCCGCAGTTCTGTAATACTTATATGCCGTAGTACTTTGAAGTTATCGGTTAAATAGTGTATATTTGAGAATTTAAGGTTCCAACAAAAGATTTTTTTGTTGCAAAATCATGTTTTGAGCTACGAAAGTTGTTATAATCCTTAAGAATAAAACCAAGACCTTATAAATATACTTCTATGTAATAATAACGGTATTAAAAATCTTCCAAAGTTCAGTAATAATATTTGCTTGTAAGTCACAACGAATAACCGCAAGAGCTAAATGTAGCGAAAATCTTTCTAGGTCACCAGAGGGCGTGGAATTAATGGATATATTGACACAGAAATGAGCAAAAGGACGTACATTAACGTTGAAAATTTCTCGATTTCTACAAGCATGAACTTATTTGCGTAACACAACACATAGTAAACTTCTTAATCATCGTTCCATTAACGTAAGATGTTAGGTTTCGAGGACTTTAATGTCAATTGAGTCACAACTCAACCTCAAAGATATTTCAGTTTCTAAATCGAATTAGAACATACCCGAGTTCGAGGACTATCTCATCTCTTCGCAAGCAATACACGAACACTCACAGCACTTGTACAAATTCTATGGCAACACTACAACACGGATGTTAAGACACGAGCGCTCAGCGCGACACTAACTGTACGAAGTGAGCCGGGCTATCGATCGCGCGGGCCCCTGGCGCCGGCGAGCCGCATGTCCCTATTGCACGCACGCCCCTCCTACTTCCCACCCCCCAGGGTAGGGTGTATCCCGCTTTTGAGGTGTGATGATTGAACAGAAAAAATCATTACATTTGAAACATAGCAACATTTAAATCTATAACAGGTATAGGTCATTTATCTGGCTATTGCCAAGCCATAGCATATTTTGGTATGGTTCTGATGAAAAGGTTTCGGAGAAATTGCGATTTCCAAACCCATTTGGCTTCTATGTATAATCGTATTAAAATGTTTAATGAATTATATAAATGAACATAAAAACTTTTTTATATTTTCTAAATTACGTAAAATTATCACAAATAAACAAGAAATTACTTTAAAAATTTTAGTAAAAAAGATAAATGAAAGGATATTTTTAAAATAAAATAAAATCAATGCCGCAAATTACGTAATCGAAGTTTCCCAGGTAAATCCAGCTGGCAGGAAGTCTAGAGAAATTGAGGCCTTGATCTCCCCAATCCCTTCCCCCTATCGCCCCGACCTTGCTCGTCGAAACATCCCGACCCCACACACGCCCCAGACGGCGACTGAGAAATCTGTCAAAAGTATTTGAATTTACAGGAAAATGCTGGCAATTCGGGTTTATGGGTAACATAAACATTTCGGACATTTACAACAATCGTATAAATATTCCAAAATGTTTTTTTTTTAGATAAACTCTTATTTGACGCACCCAGTGTTAAGTGATGATGAAGTTGGTAGACAGTATTTGATACTTTGTGTGCCTGTTCATTCTACTCTTGAAGGAACCTTCATAGTATTTGAACGCAAGCACTCGTGCCCACATAATTAGATTAAAAATGCCCAGTAATTAGTTAATAGTAGTTATTTATTAGTCTAGAGTGAACAGCGACTAATAATTAAATCATACCAAAGTCATAGATTAACATTTTACCAAAGTAAGATTGAATTTTTAAATGAATTCATGCACTGAAGCAAGTTTACATGACAAACTAGTCACCGGCAGGTTTTGAGTCCCCTTGCATAATGATTCATGAATTATTTATTGTAAATGTAAAATTGCATTTATACTTTTGGTGAATTTAATCCAGTGAAAAAATAACAGTTTATATTTAAACCTTTTCTTGCATATTAAGTGCATAAATTTTAATAATATATTGTGTTATTATATAATATAAATTCCAGAAAGAATTATAAAAAAATGCCATTCTGAGTATGTTTCATAAGTTTTCAATAATGGGGCAGACAAGAAAACAGCCTAAATTTCACATTATTTTCGAATAACATAATAATCAAACAATCTGCCAACTAATATCCAGTGAATCAATGCTCTATGATGTGTTTTATAAAGAAAATAGCAACATATTTCCAACAAGTACTGTCTTAATCATTCATTGCTTTTAAAAATAATAACCCACTAAATTATTCAAACTTTCGTGAGACATTATACTAAACTGACATATGTACACGGCTAAACACTCACATATATTATTATAGTGAGCAACGGGCCGCATCCGGAAATAATACCAGTACCACTCATCCTGATGAAGGGCCCCCGATGGGCTTGAAACTAGTTGGTGCCGCCACCCAAAGAAATGGGGATTAAAACATATACTTTGCACAAGATATTACGAGGCAGTAAGCCATCTTGTGTGTTATCTTTGATAAGTACAGAAATTATCAGTAAGTATTATAATTTTCACAATCATATTTTATTTGCACACATTAGTAATTGGCAAACTCTTATCACAAATTTAGACTAAAAATTATTATTTCTATACTTCAAAAGATAGTCTATCTGACTATAAACCTCTGCTTATTGAAGTCAGATAATTTGAGCAGGTTTTGGAAGGTACTTTTTTAACCTAAAATATTATAAATTGCTAGATATAGGTAGTTAAATCTAGTAATAAATATAGCCTATGTAATCAGAAACAATCAAATGTTTTATATCGGATTGATATTTCATGTATGTAAATAAAAATTAAATAATAATAATTTATACAAATATTTTAACAAGCAACCAATAAGCAAAAATCAAGCACTAAAATATAGGTATTGTAATTAATAAGTACTCAAGATAATATTAATTACCATTACATCATCATATGAGGTACATACATACATATTTAGTAATAAAAGTTATTTCTGATATTCTAAATTTTAATTAGTATAAAGTTATAGCCATCAAATAAATCTCCTCGCTATAATATGTTGTATGTTAAACTATTCAATGCATAGCAACCTGTCACACCCCATTTACTGCACAACCACTTGACTTATATTGAATTTATGATTACTCACAATACTTATCTGTTAGATTTATGTCTAGGTACTGCTTGTTTAGCTTTGTAATTTTTCAACTTTGAAAATTGTTTGTTGAACATGGTCGGGTAAAATTAAAATTACATTTATGTATTTGTTAAAAATTATTATTAAATATATTAGGCCGTTTTTAAATAAACTTTAACTCATCCAAGCAATAAATATGATTCCGAGAATAAATTTAATCGTTACATTTGAGATGCGGCAAAAAGCTTCAATGAGAAATTACAAGGCTAAAACCTGTAGACCGAAATCTATTAAGAATTTACTTTTCGGTACGAAACAAGTATTGTAATCTTCCACACTTCGATTTTAATTAGATTAATATGATATCACTTAAAATTCGTCCGTCTTAATTCCATACAAAATATAACACCTTTTTATAGGCCGAAGTACCTACTTACCTCAAAATTGAATTCACTTGCACAATCACACCGAAAAACAATTTCTTATCCAATTTGCGGTTTTATTAACATAACACGTACACTTTTAATGTAGGGCTTCAGTAATAATCACTATTCATGTAGAAAATTCCAAATTATCATCCGTGACTGCGAGTACGAACGGGCGTCGAAGGCGAGGCAAAAGATCGCCGCGAAAGCATCACCTTACCACCCACGTCATAGATTAAGTGATGAACAGCTTAGCCACACAACCAGTTTTTTACCGTGTTTTATAATAAATAGTAAAAACCTTTTTATGTCTTGTGTCTGGATTTTAAACAATAGTTTTTGCTATCCATGCAAATTTTATTATTTTTAAAACGATCCGAGAAATGAAAATTTGTCGAATTTAGGTTCACACCCAAAAATACTGTATTGCTAAATTGTAGTACTTCCTCTTTAAAATTAAAATTAATGCAATTGGCGATACTTAGATGGTGAACTGAAATTTTCTATCAAAATTTGTTCCACAAAATAAAAAATGAAAAGGAAAGAAATCACCAGTTTAAGTATTAAGAGAATTCTGACGGCGGGAAAAATATTCTTTGACAAGCATGATGTCATGTTGTGTCATAGATAAAGAAGTGTTTTTTTTAGTCTATGAATGATTGCAGTGCGTTCACGTTCGGAAGTTCGAAACATAAAAATGTTTTGTTGTGTCATCCATTCAATAAACATTTCAAAACCAAATCATTCATTAAATATACAAGGAAAAATTAATATAAAACGTAAGTTGAGCGTTACAGTTACAATTCAATTTATTTTGTTTGATAAAATAAAATACATAACTATGTTATGTGATTCAAATATAGATTTATGAAATTCTTTAAATACCGTCCTTTTTTAACTTAGGAGTACATGCTTCACACTAATATGTTTTCTTTTCAAATACTTCTACAAAAATGTATACCTACGTAAGTTCATGATGTTTACGGAATAACGAAATAAAACAAATAAGTCGATTTTGTAATCTCTTTATTAAAAAAATTATAAAAAGGAAACTTATTTTTCTATAACATTATTTTTTATCACAATATATGATTCATTTAAACATAAATATTTCGTCAAATACAATGTCATCCTATTCTTAGTCTTAAAATTATGAAGAAAAACTTAAATTATATTGTTTCGAGGTGGCACTAATGACTTTTTATAAAAATTAATATTCAACTCGATCTCAACCGCCACCATTTTGAAGTAGCAATATAGCAATAGCTAATTACCAATTCTATATCTTTAATTAAGTATAATTAATATGTTACATACGAAATTAATAAGATATATTATTATCTTGAGAATATAGCTATGTGGCCAGTTTCTTCTTGTATTATGTAAAACGTTACAAAAGTTTTACAAAATTGCTATTACGCCTTGTATTGTGTAATCGAAATTATATTTTTCCGTAACATTCCCTGATGAATTAACCTAAATTACCTTAAATCTCTAAAAATTATACATAGGACTTTCTACAAATCCCTATGTATTTCTATCAAAAGCACCACCTCAAGCATGTTTTTGACAATAAAAATAAATTAAACATCAAACTAATCATTAGAGTAATGTTCATCGGACAGTCTTCCCACAAAACAATCCCATTTGTTTTAAATTAATCGTACATTAATAATTTCAACACAAGCACCAATATTTCATAAGAGTATTAAAAAGTTCGCTAATATCATTCACTGTTTGAAAATAACGTTAAAAAATAAGAATTAATTGCACCATTGAAATATACTGAATTAACAATATTACTGTGTCTATAACAAATTAAAAAAATATATTCACAAACTCTGATTAGTACATATTATTAAAGGCAATTTAAATTAAAATTTTGCCTAATTTCTAGGTGTATTTATGAAAAACAAAATTTATTAAAAACTCTGCTCTGATATATTTTTTACATCGTTAATATGTTTAAAACGCTCTTGCATAAGGCCAGTTATTGCTAGAAGATGAATGGTGATCTAAGTAAGGACTATCGGTTAATAACAGTTTACTCCCACTTAGACCAGAACTGGAACTCTCACTGGAAGAGAACAAACTCTTGCTGCCGGTGTAGAAGGAGAGAGACGTATGCAATGGTTCGCGAACCATTCGTCTTCTCGCTCGCACTAATGATGCAAATGCGACAGCTATAGCGCATAGAAAAATGATCCCTAACACACAAAACGCAAGAGCCATTTTGCCAGGTGATAAGCATATCGTTTTGTCTCCTGGAGAGAAGCCTCGTACGAATTCATCTTTGTCACCGTCTATTCTTCTCGACCCTGTAACGAAATTTGATTGTTTAGTGTTTATTGGAACAAGAAATTTATGAAGCATGTCGTTTAATTTTGTAAAATCATCATCAGATTTATAGATGCACTGTCAACCATACCATTGCAGGACTAAGGATGAAAAAGAAGAAAAAAGGAGGGAAAGAAAAAAAAGAAAAGAATGGAAAAGCGAAATTTGTATTTTTCTCCATGTTTGTAACCGTCTTATTTGTTAATAGCATCGTTATCTACATATTCATTATGGTTTTTTTTATTCACTTGGTCTTCATTAGAATAAAAAGACATACCTCTTATTGATGCTTCGTCCTCGAGCTCAATGTTCGGCGCAAGAACTTCTATGCTGTTGTACACCTCTAGCCTATCAATAACCAATCCTCTGGCATCTTTGTCCAGCCTCGCTTTCCTTAGCAGCCCGTCTCTGGTCTGCTGCGGTCTTCTCAAAGCTTTACAATCTATCTTTGGACAGTTTCCTTTGCAAAGTTCCACCCCACAGGTTAAATGTAGTTTCGCTCTATCTGGGAATTTGAATGCCGCGAAAGTGACTACAGCATGTTGATATGTCATAATATTCTTGAAAGCGTAGTCTGGGTCGTTCTTTATCTGCTTTATCTTTGTAGATTCTTGTATATTTTGTTGAGGATCGACAGGTTTTAAGTCGGAAAGATCAACTTCTGGGCCGCGGTGCTTATGTTCATGAAGGGTGGGGCTGCTGAAGATAGCCTCATCGATGGGGCAGCCGGCATCATCTAGAAGTTTCTGTGACGCTTCTCCTAAGCCGTCGTGCGCGACGCAGTTTGTTATTCGTAGGCCCACACCAACTGTAAGTTGAGCGAATTCAAAGATAAACATTTTTTTTCAAACAATTTCATAAAACTAGACAAGTCAAAGATTAAGGCAAGAAGGTTACGATGAATGAGTTTTTAAAATGTTGGTCTAATTTGATATCTATTATATCTAGAAATATTGTACTCACCAGGCAAGGTACACTGTATGAGCAGCCGCGTGGGCTGGCCGACCTCGACGGAGGCGGGCTCTGCGGCGGCTGCGGTGGGCGCCAGCTCCATCCAGGCGCGCGCCGCCTGCACCAACTGCTGTCGCTGTTCCGCCTCCGCTGGGTTGAAGCCTTGACGATTACGACCCGTTCTGTCGGTAAGTAGGACCGTAAGAAAGGTTACATTAGATTAGAACCTTAACAAATACAAATAATGAGGGTATGCTACAAATCGCACTCATATCTTAAAGAGATTAGTACTCGCACTTTAGGGAAATGTCCTATCTTCATAAAAGTTAATTTTAATTACCTAACTTTCTTAGCTTCTTTACTTGTCATCTCTCGTAGCTTCGTGCTGATGACGCCCTCGAGTGCTGAGCTGTGGATCCTGACGGCAGGTGGTTTCAGCTTGCACCTGAAATACATCTTCAGATAATAAGGTATTCCACAATTTTTAAACGCCTATTGAAATGTAATAGCAAATGTATATAAGAGCAAAAAATGAAATGATTTTATCTGCACCCACCTCACCATTAACTCTTGATCGGAGGACTGCTGCAGCTGACGGTCCATTTGTATAACCAGCTCCACCGTGTAGTACAGGTCCTCATTATCATCGGGCTCTTCCACCGTCGAATTGATAGTAGATGTACGTACTCCGCAGGCGTTTGACGGTAGATTCAATGACACTTTCTTTTGTAATTTCCCTAAAAGAGTTTGATATTTTCCGTGTTATGGTCTAAGAGCGTATATTGACAATACTACAAAGTTAACTTTTTCTTTATAAGTTGAGAAAAATATAGAGTTAAATGCATGTATGCTCTACCTTGTACTCGACACTCTCTCGAGAAGTCTTTGCTGAAAACAAGTCCTTTAAATGGCTGATCCATGATGATGTGAACGGCGATCGAACTCTTGTCACACGTGGTCGCCACGTCGATGACTTTGTTGGCGATGCCGTGCACACTCCCGGCCACTAAGAGCCATATAACCACCGCCCAGCACATAGCCACGGACCCTGAAAGACAAATAAAATAGGAACATTAAACATAACTCTTTACGAAAGGATAGGTGGATTTATGACTCAAAATAAGTCGTGCTTTCTGTTTTGAGATAGTCAAAGAAATTTTTTAGTATGTACTTGCAAAGCTCTGAACTATTTGATGCAAAATATATGGATAGGTATAGATCGATGAATCACATGTTCAGGTTACATTATGATGGTAACAACATTATTTCACGTAGACGTTGTGGTTAATTTAGCGGTCAGCGCGATTGAAACGGCGGCAAATAATAGAAAATTGTTTTTTGATGTTGCGCACTTTATTTTTTTTTATTTTATACATTTTAACAAAATAATAAACCCTCTCTAGCTTTAGAAACTATATTTTTAAGTTTTTTAACAGTGATTTGACACTTGCATTTTCATTTATATTTCTTTCGGCCAATGTAATGTCATCAACATCATCACAGTACGTCCCCACCGAGGGTTAAGTTACTACCTAAGTTAAGGGTGATTAGGCCATAGTCAACCACGCTGGCCAAGTGCGGGTTGGTTGACTTCACACATATCTTTGAATCTCTCTCTCAATGTAATGTGAATAACAGTAATTGAAGAATATAGAATATATAGTCACTTTCTAATTAAAATATAGGTTATAATTAATTTCGTATAGTTCTTAAATCTTTGCAAAATAATGGTCGAGTATGTAACAATAACAAGTCCGTTTTACTTCTCGTTTACCGTTGTGGCTTCGTTTCATGTTCTCTGATATTCCACTTTGATTAGCGTTACTTTGTAACACAATTAAACAGTTTATGCACAGATAAAGCAGGCCTTTGTATAATTTAGATCCTGATATATATTAGGGCTATTTAATTTACGTATTTTATAATTTTCTAAAGTTTATGTTATTATTTTTGTTTAAGTTGTATTGGCTTAGGGTTAGCTAAATTGATAATTAACCAAAGTAACTTAAGAGTTATCCCACTAACTGACCTAAATACACTTTGACATAATAAACGTTACATTAAAAATTACCTCCGCTGACGTGCGGACAATCCATGTTATGATTCTCAAACTAACGACAGATTTCTCCTACTGCTATATCGGATGCTCTAAATTAAATCAATACCAGAGTAAGGTTTTAATTCTTAAAGTTTAATAAAAGCAAATATGTTATATAAAAACATACATCTCTGAAAAGTAGTTAAAGAAATCATCAAAAAAAAGTCTGTAAAAAGGTTGTCTATATATCTTACTTCTTACTAATATGGATGGATGGATGGATGTTTATTTGAAGATATTTCCAGAACGACTTTACAGATCTTGATGAAATTTTTCATACATATAGAACATAGTCTAAAAGAACCAATAGGGCACTAGTTAAGTTTTTTTTTAATTCCGCACGGATGTGGTCGCGGGCAACAGCTAGTTTTCAAATAAAGATTCACTTATTCCCGTTGCAAGTAACAACGGATGTAATGATATAAACAGTTATACAGAGTTACGCAATCGCTAATTGCTCTTAATTAGTAGATACTGTAATTCTAAAGTCCCAGATGCGTGCGAATGGATTGCGAAGAATGTGGCCCTGCAGCGGGTTATGAGATAACGCGAATGCCTCAGCAACAGAGAAAACCGTAAACTATTGCGAACATAAACTTTTATAACCGTCGGTTCCCACTGTTAAAACACATGTACGATTTTTTTAAAGATGATTTGACGATGTGTTTTTGGACAGATGTCGTGGCAATGAAAGCCAATCTAACAAAATATCTTATTTATAGATCTTCTATGTTCTCTAAGCGGATGCGTATCTTTTAGCTTTTTTTAATGAATTATCATGACCTTAAAATAATATTGACACACATTGAATGTAACTGTATTTCGTCTAATTATTACAATCAAAACTAATTTATTATCAACGTTCTGAAATCAATTAAAGTTTAATAAAAAAAAATAGTGAAAGTCCGGTCCATCTTGTAGCGTGTGCTTTAATTTGTTCGATAAAAAAAAACTCATCTGTTTCGGTTTTACGGCACGGATAAGATTAAAACGATAGATAAATGGACTAGTAACCGAAATACTGATACCAATAAACGGATTCTGGATGTGATAGTTCTAAATCGATGAAAATCGAGTGTAAAGTTACATTGGACACGAAAGCCAGGACATAGCTTTTATTGCGAATGTTTTCCATAAAACTAATATGCAAATAAATCAAAATTCTATTTTCTCAAATTATTCATACTTTCGTGACTACGTTCGAGCCCATCGGGGGCCCTTCTTCAGGGTTGGTCGGTGCCGCCACCGGACGAATATACGTGAGTGTTTAGCTGTTTTTATATAAGTTTATACTATTCTCTGTTTGTGTATATGGTATTATCATTACTTTTATCGAGTGTAAATCTACAATAGATGCTATTCAGATAGGTTGTATGAGTTGTACGCATCCGTCTTTGCAAATAAACTTCGATGAATTTTGAATGATTGTTTTGGTAACTTATAATCTTTTATCTCTATAAGTTAAATTCTATCAAAAAACATTGTCTACCTACCATTAATCACGTAAGGTTATCTGCATGTAATATCACTGGGGTTATTCGTCATAGGCAAAGACATTTAAGATAATATATCTTATTAATATTATAAATTCGAATGTTTGGATGGATAGATGGATAGTTTGTTATATACCCAGAACGTCTGACTGGATCACGCCGAAATTTAGAATAGATCTAGAACATATTTATAATAAAGTTTTTTTTTATACCGCGCGGTAGAAGTCGCGTGCGTGTCATAATCAGCTAGTCATGTCAAACAATTCCTTAAAGTCAGACATCTATCCTGTTAAGATATGGAGTAATTTTACCGTAGGTCAGTAAGATAAATTAAATGCATTTATAACATTCAAATGTTCGCGCAAGGAGAAAGTTCTAGAGGCATGTTTACCCTTTACGATTTATCATTTTAGTCGATGGTTCCGATCTGAGAGTGGATTATAATAGACACAACGATTAGGGTCATCACATTTCTACACTAGAATTTGTGTCGCTTAATTTCGGCGGATACTTTTTAACAGTCATTTTTGCAACTTTTACTACATTTTTATGACCATTCAATGAAGGTGAAAAAAGTAGTTGGCTGTCTCGATGATTAAGCGTTTTTTTTTAAATATCGTGTTAATAAAAAACATTACCACATAAGACAGCTCAAAAAGATTACTTCTTAAAAAAAGCGCAGTCGTAATTTTTTTTAATCATCAGTCAATCAACCCGCACTAAGCTAGCTGGTGGTTGATTATGGCCTTGTCACCCCTAGTATAGGATGGGCTGCGAGTCCCCCAGTGAGGACTATATTGAGCTGATGATGATCGTTGAGATTAAAATAAAATAAATACTGACTGTAACGGATATGTTATTTATATGAAGTGCTTAGTTAGAGAACTATTATATTTCTCCCGCAATTATACTATTTAATAATACTCTAGTGAGACTATTATTATTTAATAGCGGACCGGTCGTCAAGTTTTAATTTAATTACCACCTATAATCCTTTAAGTTTTATTGTGAAGTGTAAACGCTTTTAACTACAGGTCACTGCACTCTAGGATAAAGCTTATAGAGTTAAGATTTATGTTAGTTACTTTTTTAAAACTAATTAACTTCATTGTAAGGAAATAAGACGCAAACATATTGCATTGTAGGCTAAAATTTAAAAGCTCTGTTGTAAATTAATAATAATGTTTTATAATTTAATGACAATAATACTTACAAGATTTGCTTAAAAATAACAAAAAAAATGTGTCTCTGGTTTCCTTCCCCGATGCGATCGTTTATCGAATAGTTTCACCTTTTTATATCCAAGAGGAATTGTGATGATTTTTTGTGGAGATGACAAGGAAAAGTACGAAGAAATTCCTGAGACTACGACTTCAATACAATAGCTATTGTGTTTTAAAAATGTTCGCATGTTGTGTTTGCGACGAACTAAATTAATTAAAGTCATAAATTCGATTATTTTCTACACAATTAAGAATTATTAAATTTTAATTAAACGCCGCAAGTGGTCATGGATCGGCCATACGCTTCGTAGGGATCCCAGTCATATTCCCAGGGAGGTCCTGGAGTGGATCCCGCTAGGAACAAGAAGACGTGGCCGTCCTAAACAAACTTGGCGGCGATCAGTAGCTGCCGAAATGAACGCGATTGGGCTGACATGGCCCGAGACCAAGCGCAGAGCCCAGGATAGAGCGAACTGGCGGCGCACTGTGGACGCCCTCTGCCCCACTGCGGGGACATAGGACTTTAAGTCAGTCAAATTTTAATTATAAACTATTAACTAATGATATTTTAAACCATATTTTCATGCAGACGTCAAATAATTTTTCTTCTTTTCTAAGCCTACTAAGTCTATTACAATTTGCAATATAAGGAATGTGCAGGAATAAGGAGGAATAGACTTCATTTATCGTCGATTTCTAAGACCCAACTGACTGTTTATAACTTATTACATTATCTCTGTTTTGTCAAAGATAATGACAGATGTGATATGTTTTATATAGTAATTTTAGTCTCAGAAACCAAGAGTCCTTTTAAATTAGTTATGCGAAGAATTAAAATATTTGATAGTGTCATTGTATTTAATGATTGTAGTAAGATGTAATTTTTTACACCTAAGCCTTGTAAAACATAGCATATTTGAGTTTACGTTTATTAGGTATGCAATTAAATAATTAATTTAATTCTAGTGACCTCATATTTGGGCTGGTAAATCTGTAAACGTTAGCGTAGTGAACTCATTATCCGAGGAAGTAGTACGCGTCGCTCAGCCTCTAAACAGTTACGTGGGTTCCGTTAGCACTTGTAACGTACACGTTTACAACCGGGAAACACGAAGATTTATTACATAAATATCTTACTAATATTATAAATGCGAATGTTTGGATAGATGGATGTTTGTTAGAAGGTATCTCCGGAACGACTGCATGGATGTCGCTGATATTTCCCATA